AGATGGACAGGAAACAGAGCATCATATTATAATTAAAGCACTGAATGAACAGAACAAAGAAAGCATATTGATTTTTTAAAGAAAGAAACACCAAGTCCATCAGAATAACCACCAGAGTAACACCAGATTATAGAACAGAAACATTAAAAGCCAGAAGGGACTGGATAGATGTATTTTAATTTCTTAAAGACAATTGCCAACCCAGACCACTATCATCAGCACTGCCACAAAACTGAATAAAATTTCCCATGATAAATATAGACTAATTGAATTGAATTTATGACCATTAAGCTAGCTCTGAAGAAGGTATTTGAAAGAATAATTCAGAATAAAGAGAAAAACGCATGTATGACGGCACAGGAAAGAATAAGCCATGTTAGAATAATACTAGGAAAGACATGAAGAGGAGAAACACAAACACACACACTAAAAGATCAACAACAAAATGGCGAGAATTAGTACAAACCACCAAGTAGTAACTCTGAGTGTTTTTAATCCAGTTCTCAAAAGAAAAAGGCTGATGCTGGTATGCTGTCTCAAAACCAAGATGTTACCTTCAAGAAACTTATATTATCACAAAAGACAGACACTATCTCACAGTGAAAATATGAAAAAATGTATCTAAGCAAATGGGTCTGCAAAACAAGCAGGTTTCCCTGATTTAATATCAGACAAGTTAGACCTCAAACCAAAAGTAGTGAGAAAAGATAAAGGAAGCATCATCATTGACTAAGCAAGCAGTCCATCAAAGGATATTACTGTTCCACACATATACACCCCAGACACAGGTGTACCCAGTTCACAGACTGACTTCAATATCCCACTTTTACCAACTGACAGGTCATCCTAACAAAAAGTAAACAGAGAAATATCTGAATTAAATGACACCATGGGCCAGACCTTTGAAGACTACCTGAGAGTACCTGGATCCAGCCTCTGTGTGGTGATGAGCTTCCCAAATAGCACCCTGCCAGTCTCCTAACATTGGGACCACCTGTGGTCCCTCCCACTGCTCTAGGGCTTAGCTTCTCTGCCCTTCTGTTGGGGTCCATACCTTAAAGACAGCCTGAGATTATCTGGATCTGACTTCCTGATGGTGGTAAGCATCCCAAAACACCCTATATTGGGACCAACTGCAGTCCATCCCATCACCCCAAGACTAGGTGTCTTTGCCCTTTAGTAGGGGCCTAGAGCTTCGCAGACTGCCTGAGAATGCCTAAATCAGGCCTCCTCTTAGCAAGATTCCCAAATTGTCCTGTGACTGCTAGCTAGCAGGGGCCCAGACCTTAGAAGGAAGCCTGGCACCTGACTTGGGCCTCTGCAGGAGTTCCTGAGTAGCTAGACTGGTCATCTGGTACCTCCAATATAAAACCAAAAGAGAGACCCTAAATCCTAGACCAACAAGCTTTACATACCAAATAAAAAAACGATCAAGGAACACTAAAAATACAAACATAAGCAAACTTAACTCAACAAAGGAAGGCTTGAGTTTCATACCAGAATCACAAATAATAAGAGAAATCCAAATACCAAAATCACAAAGGAAAAATAAGAATATGAAAAACCAAAATAGTATGTTCCCACCAAATACTACTAGTTCTATAGAAGAGTTCTGTAATGAAAAACACCTAAAGATAACCCAGGACACCTAATTTAAAAGAACAGTCATAAACATGATCAAAGAATTCAATGAATGTAAAGAACACATAAACAAACAAGTCAGAGAACTCAAAAAAGGTAGAGATAAACTTCTGACTGAATTCACAAGAGATAGAAATACTGAAGAAAACTTAGGTTGATATAAAGAAGGGAATGAAAATCTCAATAAGCCAATTTGAAACAACAGGAGTCTCATGTATAGAATGAATGAAGTAGAAAACAGAATATCAAGACTGGATGATAAAGTTGAAGAACTGAACTGCTCAATCAAAGATTATGAAAATTTTTAAAAAATCCACAGGAATAGAATATGCAAGAATGTGGGACACCATGAAAAGACCAAATTTACATAGCATAGGTATAGGGGAAGGGTGAGAATTTCAGGTTAATGGTATTGACCAGATCTTAAACAGGATTGTAGAAGAATAGTTCTCCAAATTAAGGAAAGACATCCCCATACAAATACAAGAAACACATAGTACACCAGGACAGCCATAGCAACTCTGAGCACAAAGAGCAATGCTGTGGGGGGGGGGTCACTATACCAGGTCTCAAACTATATTACAGAGCTACAGCCATATAAACAGTATGGTCCTAGCATAAAAATACACACATAGATCAATGGAACATAATTCAAGCCTCAGTCATGAGTTCAGTCAATTTCAGCCACCTGATATTTGACAAAAGTGCCAAGAACACACAATGGAAGAAAGACAGCATCTTAACGAACAAATGTTGCTGGCAAAACTGGATCTCCACCTGTAGGAGAATGAAAATAGATACTATTTTTCACCTTGAACAAGAGTCAACTCCAAATGAATCAAAGACCTCCTGTGAAACCTGAAACTCTCAGTGATTGTTAGAAGAAAATATTAGAGTGGCCTACAAGACATAAGTGTAGGAAAGGACTTTCTAAATCAGACTTCCCTTGCTCAGAAATTGAAGTCAACAATCAACAAGTGGGATCTCATTAAACTAAAAGGCTTCTGTACAGCAAAAGAAGCAAACAAGAAAGTGAAGAGAAAACCCACAGAATGGGAGAAAATCTTCACCAGTGACACATCTGACAGGGGTTTAACATCCAGAATATACAAAGAACTCAAAAAACAACAAAAAAAATCAATAAAACAAATGATTCGGTTAAATGATGAGCTAAAGATCTGAACAGAGAATTCTCAAAAGAAGAAATGAAGATGGCCAAGACACATCCTAAAATGCGTTCAACATCAGTAATCAGGGAAATGCAAATTAAAGCACCCTTAAGATTTTATCATACCCCACGCAGACTGGCTCAGATCGAAAGAACAAATCAGATCAAAGGCTGGAAAGGATGTAGAGAAAGGGGAATGCTCATTCAGTGCTGGTGGGATTGCATACTCCTGCACACTTTATGGAAAACGGTGTGAAGAACTCTTACAAAAACTAAAAATGAACCTACCACATGACCCAGTCATCATTCCTGAGCCAACCCCAGCTTCAAGGCCTAAGAGCCACATCCATGGCCATGTCCTTGGCATATGCATATGCCAAGACTCTGCCTGCTGCAGAGATACTATTACAGTTTGTTTGTTGCTGCTCTTTTCACAATAGCTAAAAAAATGGAAGCAACTTAAGTGCCCCTCACCTGACAAGAGGATAACAAAATGTGGTTCATTTGCACAGTGGAGTTCTACTCAGTGGTAAAGAAGGATGAAAGCATGAAATTTTTTGCAGGAAAATGGATGGAACTAGAAACTGTTGTACTAAGTGAAGTAACACAGACCCTAAAAAACAAACGACATATGTTCTCCCTCATTTGTGGATCCTAGCACCAAATCCTTACGTATGAGTATATAATCTGATGTAACTGTAGGAACCAGAAAAATGGAAAGTAACCAGGGAGGTAAAGGAAAAGAAGGAACCTGAGAGAGAAGAACAGGAGGAGACAGGAAAGAAAGAAAGAAAGAAAGAAAGAAAGAAAGAAAGAAAGAAAGAAAGAAAGAAAGAAGAAAGAAAAAGAAATGTGTAAAATGGGGGTATTTAAATGGGAGGGACAGAGGAGGCCTATATTAGGAAATATGGAGAGAAAAGGGAAGGAGCTTCAGAGAGGTGGGTCCATAGCAGACAGGAATTGTCAAGGTAGAAATGGGGAAAATGGGGACACTTTAAATGGTGAGGATGTGGAGGGAGAGTTAGACAAGGAGAGAGCAAGAGGAGAGATAAATAATATCTAGCTAGTAAAAAAAAAAAAAACAGGAAATCATATTAATCCAAAAACCTATTGAAAAATTATACATACAATGCACATGAGTGCATGTGTATTGCTGAAGGTTATACAACACAAACCAGTGCCAACAGGAGAAACCTTCCTTTGAGATGTTGGCCAGGGTAGTTCAAGAGACTCTTAAAATTTTGCAGTCTATTGCTACAGTCCTTGATGGCCTCACAGAACTTGAGTTTAAGGCCCTATTTTTGCAGACAGGACATACTTCAGACACAGGATTTGGAGCAATGGAGCTGGAACTGACCTGGATGCAACTTCCTCTGAAGGCTAGCTCTCATAACTTTGGAGAACACTCTGCACTCTGCTAAAGGAAAACATCAGTCGATGGTCCAATACCAGTTTCAAGGCCTAATATCCACATAAATGACCAGCATACCAAACAACAGTGGTGCAATAGTGGCTGTATTATTTTGGGAGTAATCAACAGCTACCTAATTGGACTTAAAGCCCACTCTATGGTTGGAAACTCATGTGTGGTACTATAAACCTAGCTGAATACACATAGCTGGAGAGGTCATAGATCTTCACAAAAATCTCATGGCTATCACATCCGTAGATGGTAAGTCTTTGAAATTAGGAAATACAAAGGCGAACATAGAAAACTTTTCTGCTTTTAAATCTTGGAATCTATCACTTTGAGTATGTTATAAGTGAGAACTTTGAAGACTTACCAAAGTCTCTGTATTTTACTCATGGAAAAAATGGTAACAATTGGGATTTAACTTCAGACCTGTATTTTTCTCCCAAGTGCTGGGGTAATTGCTGTGGACCTTACTAACTGCCTGGAGTTCAGACTACCTTCAATGCCACTTTGTGCTTCCTCCTTGATGGACTGCTATCAGCTTCTCAAGAGGCCTTCTCTGAGGAATTGAAGCTACCAGCCATGGCCTACTCAAGCTTCTCCATAAATTCTTTCACATTTTCCTGCATCCCATTCTTTTCTTTTACTGTATGTGTTCTGTTTCTCTTTATATTATTTTCTATCCATGGATTGTTGGCTTTTATCAGCTAATAATTCTGAACTCAGAGCACCATTCTGCAGAAGACGTTATAGTAAAAAGTTCTCTACTGCACATACCTTGAGAATCTTGCACATGATCTCACACACAGAGAAAGTTTTCTCTGCTCGTGTCCAGTCCCAGGTAGTAACCTTAGAAGATTAAAAAAAGAAAAAAACAAAAACATTTGTAAGACAATTCTTGCAGCCTTCTATGCCTTATCGGGATAATATACTATGTACATATAAATTTAATGATTGTATTTCCTTAGTCTTTCCATCTGTACAGCTATTTTTATAAAGTTTCTTCTATATTGTTTCAGTTTCTTCAAGGTTTATCATCATTTATCTTCCATTTTCAGAAAATACATTGTTATATGCAGCAATTTCCATTTGGCAAAAACTTTTATATGTTTCAAATAATTTGTGCAATCTCAACATAGATTTTAAATATTTAAGTGTCAGCTCTATCCTTTTTTGTTTTCCCTATCTATAGACAGAGAAGATGAGACATCAACACGGGCTTCAATTTTTAAATATATAATATCTAGTTTAAGAAAGCATCCTAAGATGCCTTATGATATTGTGAGAATGTCAACACTACTATAAAGTTGGTTCTCATACTTATGTAGAAATATTATGCTTCTCCCACTAGAAGATATTATTCATAGAAGGAATATAGAAAGAAATATAAGCAATAATGGTTTTCTTATCTTTCTGATGCTGTAATTCTGTGTAAATAGACATTCAAAACAGTAACAAGCCAGAATTGAAAACTCCCAAAACCTTTGTATTATCAGATTTTTCTGTGAGTAGTGTGACATTTAGTATTTATATTCAATAAATATTTATTGAATATTACTGGTCTGTGAGGTACATAGTTCCAAAGTAAAGCTTTCAATAAAAACAGATGTACAGACATATTAATGTAACTATCATGTGGTAGCATACAACATATTACAACATAGATTGATTAGTTCAGGGAAAATTGAATAATAGAGATGAGCTTTTGTAACTATTGAAGCTGAATTTTTTAGTATTTCCTAAAGGACTTATGCATTGAAGGGTTGTCTCCAGCCCATGAAGTTTGAGAACATGGTGGAACACTTAGAATGTAGGTATAGTTGAAGACAATTAGGTTTTGGGGGGCATGACATTGAACAGAATATTAAGATCCCAGCTCATCCCATTCTCTGTTTCCTTCCTGCCCTGAGATGATCAGTTTTCCTTGTCTGCTATGTGCTCCCACTGTTTTGCATGGTGCTGCTATAAGCCAGAGCAACAGAATCATGTGGCCATGGAATGATTCCTCTGAAACTACCAGCCAAAAAGAACCTTTCCTCTCTAGAAGTTGGTCCACCAGTATTTTCTACAGGAGTGGAGCGATAACTGACACCCTCCTCAGAATGTAGCTCTATTGTTCCCAAGGACAGAATCATTTCATTTTAAACTTTGATTATGATGGTGGAATTTCATGTTCTTTTGTTTGTGTGTTGTGTTACTGCTCTTTGTTTTGTTTTGTTTCGTTTTGAGAGAGCCATAACATATACATACCTGGCTTGCCTCAAACATCCAACCCTCCTTCCTCACTCTCCCAAGTTCAGGGATTACAGGCATGCAACAGCACAGCTGGCTTTCGTTTAATGTTTTAACACCATAGAAATTTAACTAAATAGATTTAGATGTACTATAAACTGAATAAATATGATTATTTGGAGTTTTTATTATTATATGTTAATAATAATTTAAATATATGTTGAAAATGCCAGATAGCCACAAAGGCACCTAAGGGTCTCTATAAACACAAAATTAATGGCATGTTCATTAATGTATAATGAATTTTGAAAATCACATAACCCACCTGTCATCATTTCTTAATACATTCTATTCTTTAGTTTTTTTTTTTTTTTTTCAATAAAGAAAGTTATCATGACATACTCTTGGAAGTATTTCTTAAGATCCTTTCCCTGTCTTCATAAGATTTATTAAAACCATTCTGTTTTGATCCATTATATTCAAGTTCTCTAAGCAAAAATGTTATCTAACTTCTTCAAGGGTTTACATTTTACAAAACCTTTTAGAAAGACATGAATACTTTCTAAATATCTTGTGTCATATTTTTAAAATTCATTGACACTAGGCTTTTGCTATTATTCAGATGATGTCAATCTCTGGTACCAGATTTGCAAACCTACACATACCAAAAGACGAAACTTACTGGAGGTGCTGGAAACTTGTAAAGGCATGAGCCCCTCAAGGCGAGAAAGGCAGGCGTGTATACACGATCTTGGAGGGGGTCCTGCTCCCGTGCTTCACACCAGCCCATGTAGACTATCTACGAGGAAAGAGTCAATTAACTGCCCAAACCACGTTTGAACATCACATGCCATTTTGTAAGTCTTGTGCTATTATAATTTCTTGTATAATTATCAAATTAATTTACCCCAAACGACTGAAGTAGCCTTCCTGCAGTGAGTCAATATGAACATGTAGGGGTGTTTTTCCCTAGCACTATCAAGTGTTTATCCATGCCAGCCTGCTTGAGTTTTATTTTCTGCAGAATGAACTGTTACAGGCCCCTGGGTGTCACAGGGTGGAAAGTCCTCGCCCTAAACAGCAGTCTCAGATGCATATAGGATACTATAATATGTTTTTCACATCAAATTGCAATGACCACATCTCTTGGTCTTATAGGCTGAGGTAGAACAGTCATTAAAGGAAAGTCAGATGCTATCAATCATGTCTCTATTTCCACTATTTAATTGCTGTGAGGGTGGAACAGACACACAATCATGTATCAAATGTTGTATTTTTGAAAATTGATTGACATAACATTTCATTTCTTTCATCATGATTCTGCATGGGACTATATATTCCCTACCTCAGTTTTACTTTTGTGGTTTTCAGAGTGTGGTTCTTACACTTCTTTTTGCTCTGATGCCTTCTATGACCAACGGACTATGAATACACATGACACAGGTGGCTGGGTTTAGTGTCACCATGTCCCAAGTACGATGATGGGGAGCGGCAGAGCTCCCTCTGCCACCTTCACCCACCTCAGCCAAGTCCAGCTCATGATTCATGTCAGACAGTGCACTCATTTGTAGAAAGAGAAGGTACACTCCAAGTCATGCCTCAGTTTCAATTGATTTGCTAATGAAGTTTAACTGCAGTAACAGTTAAAGAATACCAACATAAAATTTGTAAAAAACTTGCAATTTATACATAGATAATATCCTTGTTGCATTATATTACATTTACTGTATAAAATAAATTGAATTGCCCATTGTCTTACCATCTTAGTTCGTATTTTAAAAACTCATGAGATTATTAAGTTCTTGCTTTTAAAAAGGTAAGGAGTTAGGTTTTTAAACAAATTAGTTCATGTTAGAATTAGAATTTCCAAATTTGTTGATTTTTGTTATCAAATCATATACTCTTTTTTAGATTGTTAATGTGGTTCTGAAATTTATATTACAATGGAAGTATTCACAGACTCCTCAGTGGTTAATGATATTATAATAAGAGCCAACCTTAATTTTTTATTTGGTTATTATTTATATGGTCAACTGTTACTTATCAAATAATATCACACTTTAAGAAGAATAAAGAAAATAGCATTTAATATGTAAATAAACACACAAACACAAACACATACACATATGTATGATGTTAGACTAGTAGAGTTCTGATAAAGGAAAATTATGATCAATGCCTGTGTTTGGCAATTGTGTATTAAGCAATACAGCTAAATCGCCAACACAAGTTGCTTTGGAAGAATAGGAAAAAATGACTCTACTGAAAGTCACAGGTATTTTACAAAGTATTTGGAATAGTCCTGTGATCCATAGTCCTATGGAATCTTGTAAGAGTTACTTACAGCCCTCTCCACTGCCATTCCAGGCCTATCTGGAGCTAACAGTCACTGAGAGTGCAGTGAGAGTCCTAGACTGTAGCCTCCCCACTCCTTCTCCACTGTCCAGCACTCCCAGGGCTATCTGGGATCACCCAGCCACTGAGAGTCAAGTGAGTTTCCCAGACCCTCTCATTTCCTCTCCCTCTCTGCTGCCATCACATAGTCCCAGCCCTGGCTGGGACTGTGGAGCCCATGTAGCCACAGAGAGGCTGGTGAGTTTCCCAGGTGTCAACCTCACTGGTTAACTCCAGCCAGTAACCACTTTACAAAAAGGAAGGGCGATATTGAGAAAGTTTCCTCAATGCTTCTAAGTGGACCCAAGGTCAAGTAAAGCCATTCGCTTATCCTCACATAGAAGGAACAACTGATAAACAGAAGCTAGAGGGAGCCAGAGTCTCCTCACAAGCCTAAGAGACCTCTGAGGTACAGAACCTCAGTTGACCTTGACAGGAGAAAGAAAATGATTAATGTTGGCCATCAACATGGTCTTAAACATCCAACAGGAAAGTAAAACCAAAGACTAAAATGGTTGGTAATTTCTATAACAGTCTGAGGGCTTTCACTTCCCAATCATTAGGCTTAAGTCCATGTTACTTATTTTAACTAATGATTTTCTTTTTAATAAGAAAAATAATACCCACATATAAGACTGAAGACCTTGACTCAATTCACATTGCCATGCCTACCTGCAGCCAAGACAGATAGGCCCATTACTGTTTAAACCTAAAAATGAAATGATGGATAACTTTCTTCTTTCTCTCAATCTCACTCTCCTCTATTTCTCTTTCCTCTCTCACTGTCCCTTTTCTCTCTCTGTCATTTGGGAAAGAATTTACACTGTGACTCTAGCCACTCCTCAAGATATCCAATTTCCTGATTGCAAATCCTGAATTTATCATTCTCAAACCCAGGTTTAAGGCCAAAAGAAAAGTTAGGAGGAACCCAACAGACGGGGATTCTTGGTAACCTATCGAGACATTTTACTGGACTTTCATTTTGGTTTCCTGTCTGGATCTTGAACTACTAATACCTCCCCTTGCCTTTAATTCTCCCTCACATCTCTTTCTAGACACCAGTCAAGGACTGCTTTTCACTAATGCAATTTGGAGGCTTTGAGATAGGCTGGAAGAAGTCAGAGCAGTTAGCACCCCGATTTCATGTTGGCGATTAGGGTAACCACTTCAGAGTCAGGCAGGACAAGAACAGGAGTGAGAAATTAGCTAGGCAGTTTAGCGTAAAGAGATCCCAAAGAAAGTAACCAGTTATTTCTTGGCTAGAAGCCAAAAAAGTTTTGGGCCTCTTTGAAGTCTAGTCTATGTCAAAGGCCACAGAGGCCAAAAGTATTTGGAGGCTATAATCTGATTCCTAAATGATTTTAGACTTTCCTCTTCAGATGGTGGAATGTAAGTGTAACACATCTATCAATAATAACTTTAAATATCAAGGACTAAAATCTCCAGTGAAAAGACACAGGCTAAGTGAATGGATTAAGAAGCAAAATCCATCTCTTTGCTGTCTGCAAGAAGCCCATCTCACCTTCAAAGACAAGAACTACTTTAAGGTGAAAGGATGGAAAAGAATATTCCAAGTAAATGGCACTAAGAAACAAGCAGGAGTTGCAATTCTAATATCTGAAAAACTAGAGTTCAAACTAAACTAAACAGAAGAGATAAAGAGGGTCACTTCATTCTCATCAAAGGAAAAATTAAACAAGAAGATATTACAATCCTGAACATATATACATCAAACTCTGGTGCACCCAAATTCATAAAAAAAAAAAAAAAAACTACATAACTTTAAAATACAGATTAATACCAACTCAGTAATAATAGGGAACTAAAATACCCCCACTGTCTCCATTAGATGTGTCAACTGAACAAGAATAAATAGAGAGACACCTGAATTAAATGATACCGAACATTAAATGAGCCTAACAGACATCTTCCTAATATTCCACCCAAAACCAAAGAATACGCTTTCTATTTAGCATCCCATGGAACTTTCTCAAAAACTGAACACATACTAGGGCACAAAACAAACATCAGCAAATACAAGATATTGAAATAATTCCATGAGTTCTATCAGACCACAATGCAATAAAGCTCAAAATCAACACCAGGAGTCCTAGTCACTACACAAACTCATGGAGCTTAAACAACACACTCCTGAATGATGAGTAGATCAAAGGAGAAATTAAGAAAGAAATAAAAGAATTCTTGGAATTCAATTGAAAGGACAGTGCAACACAACAAAGCCTCTGGGATACTTTAAAAGCAGTCTTAAGAGGGAAGTTTATGGCTCTATGTGCCTACATTAAAAAAATAGAAAGAGCACAAATAAATGTCTTAACATTGCAATTTAAGATGCTGGAAAAGCTAGAACAAATGAAACACAAACCCAGCAGAAGAGAAGAAATAAAAAAAAATCAAAGCAGAAATTAATGAAATAGAAACAAAGAAAACAACACAAAGAATCAATAAATCTAAGAGCTGGTTCTTTGTAAAGGTAACAAGATAGACAGACCCTTAGACCAGTTAACAAAAAGAAAGAGCACCTCCAAGTCAACAAAATCAGGAACGAAAGGGGAAATACCACAGCAGACACCAAAATGATCCAGAACATTATAAAGGAATGTTTTAAAAATCTATACGCTATGAAATTTGAAAGGCCAAAAGAAATGGATGGATATTTAAAGTCATGGGAACCACCAAAGTTAAACCAAAAGAGATTAACACTTTAAACAGACCCATAACATATACGGAAATGGGAACAGTAATACAAAGCCTCCCGACTAAAGAAAACCCAGGCCCAGATGGATTTATAGCTGAATTCTACCAGACATTTAAAGAAGACCTCTGACCAATAGTACTTAAATTATTCAGAATGATAAAAAGAGGGAGTGCTCCCAAACTCATTCTATGAAGCCAGCATCATCCTAATATCCAAACCAAGTAAAGACACAAAAAAGAAAACTATAGACCCATATGCTTAATGAACATAGATGCAAAATTTCTCAATAAAATATTTGAAAACCACATACAGATGTGCATCCAAAACCTCACTAACCATGATCAAGTAGGCTTTATTCCAGAGATGCAGTGATGGTTCAATATATGCAAGTCAATAAATATCATCAATCATATAAATAGACTCAAAGACAAAAACTACATTGTCATTTCAATAGATGCAGAGAAGGCTTTTGACAAAATTCAGTATGCATTCCTGATAAAAAGTACTAAAGGGAATTGTACTGGAGGGAATATACCTCAACATAATTAAGCCATATACAACAAACCCACAGCCAACATCATTCTAAATGGAGAAAACCTGGAAGCATTCCCATGAAAATCAGGAACCAGACAAGGCTGTCCACTATCCCCACTACTTTTCAATATAGTGCTTGAAATTCTTGCTAGAGC